GGTTCACAGACACATCACCTGGTACCTCTCTGTCAGTAGTCATACTCATAGTGGTCTGGAGCTGCACTGGAAGTTCTTTATCTGCTACTGAAACAAAAAATAACATATACACCAATCGTCACGGTACACACGGCGTGACATTCCCTACGACTGTAACCCTTTCATGACACACACGAGTTGGAATTAAAACTGGCACAGGGGCAAGCCTGTACATGTCTCCTTGGGACTAGTATTAAAAGCAGTTGCATGTTTAAACCTTACAGGACACGTCGATTGTTTTCGTTACAAGTCAATCCATGCCAAACCACACAAACAGACACTTTACACACAGAGATGCCTCGCTCCTGCATGTTATCGATACACAAAGTATTGCTTTGGTTCCTAAAAATCGATTTCAAAATTTCCCGCCATTTCACTTCCTGATCTTGTCGTCTGCTAACACATTAGTCAGTCACAACTCATTACGCTGTCCCCTTTTCCCGGTATGTCTATGGTCGACGTTTCACAAAATATATTCCCGGATAAAATCGTAACCTTACAGTGCTGATATCTGACTAAAAAACTTACGGTTTTCAGGATAAATGCTCCTTGGAACCAGAGAAAAGTCGTCCGACTTCTTCCTGTCAGCCATCTTCGGACGTCACGAGAAGACTATTATGGGTTGGCTTCCCACAATTCCCAGCGGCACTAACCCGGAAATCGCCCGGCCACAGCCACAAAATTCCGCCCCAAATCAACCAATTTTGACAATATTTTGTACCCCGTCAGCCCTTCTCAACCCAAGAAGAGGAGATGTGCCTTCAATCCGGCAGCTAGGAGCCACAATTTTGCGAACCGACCAAGAGAGGGAGTCACAAACCAGAGAGCGGAAGTTTGGGGAGTGTCGAGCTAGTTGCATCCCCTTCCCAGCTGCAAGTGATACCCGAGGTAAAGAAAAATGTCCTCCCACTCTTGGTATTTTTCTCCTTCTCCTCCTCGATTGCCCCATCTTTGTCTGTGCCGTCGTTAAGAGTAGTCGAATCTTTATAATCTAGATCGTTCCTACAAAAATTCCCTCGGTTGTCCCTTGACAATTTAACCATTGACTATGATGACATTTATCACATGTTGCCGCTCGAAAACGGCACGTCCTTGTCAGTTCAGCAACGAGAGGAAGCCCGATTTTAAACAAATGTTTATTTTTGTCCTATCCTTCTCGTATCTCGATTTAAACCACCAAACGAGGGCCTTTTGGGAAACGATTTCCTGAGGTTTGACGGAGGAACACACAGGTTTGGAGGAAGTAGTTGTGTAACGTGGTGGGAAAAGAATAGAAGAGGAAGTTGGGGGGTTGAAAGTAAGGTCCCAAAATGTTGTTTATCTTGGTGCATCCCTGTCTGCAAGTACGTGATTACAACGACTTTGTGCCTGGCTGAAACGATAAGACGGGACAGAGAAATGATACAGAAAAATGGGAAAAATATACACATGGAGTTTGAAGAGGGAAAGAGGCAATATTTGTGTAATGATTATCCATAAACAGCCATCGTGTTTATCCAGTGATGGGGAAAATGCAGAAGTACAGTGTGTAAATTTGCAGTAACTGACAGGTGCCAGAATCATCAGTTTAGAGTTGAAAAACATTTGGTATTGTTGACGTAAAAAAAAACACAGGGCAAAATATTTCCAGTTGAGTAGAATTCTTTCCGTAATCATTGTTTGGGTCAGCATTGAAATTTGGCATGGATGAAATGGCTGGTATGTCCTTATGTAAAGTGAGAGCTGACCCCTTGATATGATACATTAGCCTTCTGTTCAGATAGGTGGTCTAGCTCCAGTATTAAAGTGGGGAATGTCACCCCTGCTTCACCCCCAAGTACATGAAATCTGGCAATTTTGTCTCCACGCTACATGTAATTCGGGGTTCACGAAAGACAGTCATTTCTTGACCAGTAAACTAGCAAATGTATCTCTACCAGCAAATGTATCTCTTTTTTTGCTTTCCATTATTGTCATGCATTTCTCATTTTCCTACTACTGTACTAGTTAGCATTGCAGTTTGCACATACATTGTACTATTCGTACAGTCTGTGAACCTGTATGATGTTTCACAAAAGGGTAATTTGTGACTGGATGGGAGGCTAGGACTGATATCTGAAATATTCAGGGTATTCAATTTCAAGTGTTGTTTTACACTCGAAAGATCTGTTCCCATGGAAATGTGCCACCACCAGTGGCCAAAGTGTACTTTTTATATCCCCACTTCTATGCAAGTATTGCAGGACATGTTATAAATATTATTTACGGTATACATCTAGGGCTCAAAATCGCACTATGTAATTTATGTCAGATAAAACGCAAAAATTAAAATACAGTACATTGTACATAGAAACTTGCAATTTTTAAGTTGAATCAAAATCCAAGGCTTGGTGTTATACAGTCCAATTTGTGCCAGTGATTTTGACAGCAGAAACTAAAGATGACCGATATCCATGATCATTACATACACCAACCTCCCCATCATGTATTTCCTTCCACAGTACCACTACTTCACCACACAATATCAACTTACTGGCCATCATTTCATGGTTTTGAGTACTTTACGGTTCCACTGATCTTATTATATAATTTGCAGGAACAGGAGAGGGATATCATGCCTCAGCATTATGAATTTTTTATGTCAAGTTAACACCAATTTTGGCTAACCTCAGCGGGTAATAAGTCCTGGTCCTGTACATGGGCTATCTTCTCAGCCATCTTGAAAGTTTTATGGCTTTGGCTTGCGCAATTATAGTACTATAAGGTCTGAGTTGTAAGGGGTTTTCCATAACCTCCCTGTTCCGGGAAGGAGATCTGTTTTCCTTATATGGCCATGCTGGGTAATTCCTGGAGTTAAGGATATTACTCATTGTACAGATGCTTCTGATTATGATTTTAAGTCAAATGAATAGAGCAAATGACCCTGATTCTGAAATGACCCTGAAAGAAAGATAATGAACTCATTTCAGTCGTATTTGTTTTGAGACAATTAGAATTAATAGGAGCTTCTGTATTCCGTGAAGATTTGAAGAAAAAAAATTATTTTCTAGAAACATCTATTTTTCTTATATGATACACATTGATTACAATATGTAATGGCCTTGCTCTTTCATTCTTGTGTGCAATACTTTGTTTGTTGTTATTGTCAAACAAGATGATATTTCATGTTGAATATTTAAAATTTGAATTGGACTGTGTTCACGCAAGACTCACCGCCGCTAGCCGTTTCTGCTGACTTGTCAGTCGACTAAACGGAGACGCCATCGTGATTATTTTTACAGCCTCTGGGGTAGCAATGTTCTACCACTAAACTTGCTACCTACGACTCCCCTCGGGCGTTACCGTGTTTATTGATTACTCAATGGAGTCTACATGTTGCCACTTTGGGCAATGAATAGGTTTTCAATTCCAGGCTCCAAGTGTTTTTGTTTGGCAGACATTAGAGGCAGACATTTTAATCACCCTGGCAGTTGGAATGATAAGATAACCCTTGTTATGGGAATGGGTCTTAATTAGAAGATCCATCATTTGGTGATTTCTCCCCGGACTTGTTATACCCTGGTTATTGGTTCCAATTTGTGCCCTACCTTTTAGCAACTGGGCTTTTAACAAAAATAAATGGGATTCCGTGGAAGGTATAATGTAGAGAGATCACTTACTCGTCAGTATGATTTTTTTGTCTGGTATCCTGATGGGAAGTCTAGAGAATGGCAATGCAGTTGAGCTTGTTGATTGGATGTTTTTTGGACGACAAGCTTCCATCAAGTTAAATGCTTTGTCTTGAGTTTCTGTCAATTACCTTCTCTGATTGGTACATGCATGTTGGGTAACGCTTTGTTTGTGTCTGATTTGTGATTCTCCAAGCTAGTCATCAAAACATCTCCCTAGACATAGCCACATTCACCTCACGTACATTTAGTTGAATTATTTTGGTAAAATCAGAGATCGCAAACATTGACCATGAATGCATGATGGCAAGAAGAAACATGCGCTTTTTCACATGTTAATTTATATTTTGAATAAGATCTGTCTTTGATATCACATTGTACCATTTTGAGACCTGGCATACTAATCCTTATGGCCTTGAAGGTCAGACATGCTAATGATATTCACTACGACTGGATAAATCTGGAGCTTTACTTTCCATCGTTTTGGATGATACGTATCTCTTCTTTGCTCACTTTTGCCCTTTTTTCAATTTACCTTTAATCCCAAATACTCTTAGAGTCCCCAAATGATCCAGTATCATAGGAGTGATCCACCATCCATATTCCCACTGGTGGCTGCCATATCTTGAAGTTGATATATTTTACTGGTGTTTCGCTGTCATTTATCTTTTTTTGTCATTAGAAGCAGGGAAGAGAATCAATCTTGTCATTCGTCATGTCATGAGAGTTGACTGGTAATACCTGCTGATATTCCATCAGCCTCCCCTGTGGTATCTGTCTTCCTGAGGAGACTTTTGACAACATTTGATATTTGATATATTCTACAGAATCTTACATTTGTATTCAGTTGTGAAATTTGTGAAACAAAATCATAGGTAAGTCAGATTTCGTAGCAGAATGCCAAGATGAAATCGTCTGACCGTTTCAAAAATCACATCCAGTTGCTTGAGTAACTGTTTTTTTGGCATAAAATGTATGGTATTTTGATAGAAACCCTCTAGTAGTATTTTGATGTATATATATGTATTCAATCTGGAAAGAGACCCCGCTCACCCTGTTTATTTCTTGATGTGTTTTTCTGTAACTCTTTATATTTAGTCAAATTACTGGTAATTAATTTTTTTGCATTGTGGTAAATTAACTGAATTCCTATTTCCTTGCCACATTGTTTTCTACCCTTGCCTGGAGAAAATCAATGCACAATTCGAGAATACAATATCATGCAATATAATTACAAATGAAAATAAATGTGTCTGATTAAGGTTTCCTTCATAGTCCCCTGATACATTTTTTTGCTACTGTTGACAATCTATGAATACAGGATGTGGCTTGCCTTAACTGTTAGTTATGCCATTATATGTGTGTATATACAATGTATTCATAATTGATGGGGGTTGAATAGCAACAGGTTGACCATCCCATGGGAGGTGGGGAGGTATACACAAGTAATTATCCGGCTGAGTTGTTCCTGCAGGAAGTACCCACCCCCACCACTGAGCAGCATCAGGCGCTATTACTGATACACTATCAGTATGGTCTTCAATATTTATAGGCATTAAATATGCATGACAGCACCTCAACAGGTTAGTCCATTGGGAGGGCTTTGGGGAAAAGGGCTGCGCACTTGGCTGCTTTTCTTTGCCTGTTGCAATATATTATTATTACATGTATATAGAAACATGTGTACAACTAATATATTTGTTTCAGATTGAAAGTAGTATTATCCTAATTAAAGATTTTAAAAGTTTTTCTCTGAAAATTGTACAGAAATGCTGATTGATGTATGATTTTACATCAATTTTTTATCGTAATATTTTGATTGAAATAAGGTAAAGGTAATATCACTGTAAGACATGTTGTATAAACATGTTTGAAAATCATGAGAAAGGTTGCCTTGATACATGTATATGGTGTATGTAGTTATAGATTTCACTGCTTCATCATATGGATCAAATTCCATGGATCTGTGGTCGGGGTTGGATCCCAGGGTCTGCCCCATCTTGGACATGTTTTTTTTTTTTCTAAAAGGGATTGCATCGGACATTTTGGATGGTGGCACCCTGTGTTACACTATGCTGGCTGTTTTTTCTCTATATGTCATCATTTTTCTGTCCTGCCCATTTTGTTTCCCAGCAAACCCATGTCTTTTACGAGATGTCCGTGACGGACAAAGACAGTTGTGCCTGTAAGTACGCATCCCTTCCAAGCCTGACTCCTGTGCATGTGAATGGATTGGCCAAGTGTTCTCTCCAGAAATATGTTTCATTTAAGTGTCACATTACTGTAAAAGGTTGCACTTTGCATGGGGATTGATTGGACTTGAGATATTACTTTTATTGTAAATGTCTTATAAGCGATCACTCAACACTTTTCTCAAATCCCCAGAATATGATTGAAGACAGAAGTTATGTACATTGCTCATAAGCGGCCTATTGTTATTTTATGAAGTCGGACCGATAAATTCCTCACAAGGTTTTAGTTCAAGAACAGGCCCTGTAAATGAGAAGTTGTATGATCTTGAAGTACACTGCATTGAATAAAAGCATGTAACGTTAAATATGTCCATTGGGTATTAGATACTTTAGCTGAAGAAATTTACACATGTTGCAGATGTGGCCTTTCTAGTAAAATAGTTGCCTGTACTTATGAAAGTGTATGATAAGATGAATTTCTGGGGGAGAACATGTAAGACTGTGGACCAT